ACTCCTCCTCTTCCTCCCATCCTGCACCCCTCCTCCTCCTCCTCCTCCTCTTCTTCCTCCCCTCCCTCCATTTTGTCGTCCTCCTCCGTCTGATGCTGTTCCAACACCTCGGGGCTTCAGCCTCACATCCACCATCCAACACACTAATGCTCCTCTGCTGCTGCTGCTGCAGCGTAATCACCCACCACGAGGGAGGAAATAAAAAAAACAACCCAAAATAAAGAGAAACAAAGACGGAGGCGCTTGGTCTCGTGTGGCTGAACGTGTCTCAAACGAGTCGGGAAGAATCTAACACAAACTCACATTTCATCAACACGATAACGACGGTTTAAAGCTGCAACGTTGATGAGTTTTATTCTTCATTTGAGAGACGATCAGTCGCCTCGATCTCACACCCGTACTGTCTGAGCGGCGCTTTCTACGAATTCAGAGTACATTGCTTCTTGTGCCACCTGAATGCACCACAAAGAAGATCAATAAAGTGTGTAACGTAGTCAAAACTCTTCACTAAAGTCAGTCGGGCGAAGAGCAAAAACATCTTTTCCATCGAGAAAAGCCCTCTGTGTTGTTCTTTGCTCTTCTTTCGATGAAGAAATACTCTCTAAATTTCACATTTCATGTGCCAAAATCTATTCCACGTGTTAAAAAAAGCCAATCACATATGAATTTATCATATTTCACATGTGAAAATGTCCAGCTCACATGATTGTTTATTTCAATATTTTAAAGTTTTAGTTGACGTGTGACGATACCAGATCACAATCAAAGTTAGTTTTTTGCGATAAAAAAAAAGAAGAGATTTACAAGTGAAAATTTGGAAATTCATCAGTTTCATAACATCGAGTTCCCATGTGACATTTTATTTTCACAAAACAAATTTAGTTTTTGCATCAATAAAAGAACAAAACATTTACACATGTAAAACATTTTCATATGAGATGGAAAAATGTTCTGAAAGTGGAGTCAAACTTTAAGAGACAAGCGTCAAAACAAACAAAGCGGTGATTAACTCCCTACAGCGGTGATGTTAGCTGAATCAGAATCATATTCTTTTATGCAGACAGCTGGAAATGTCAAAACTTCCAGAAAAAATAAGGTAATTTAAGATATTTTAAGATTCTTCCAGGTCGTGCAGACACATTCGAACTGAGCGGAGGAGATTTTAACTTTTGCATGTTAAGTATTTTGATGAATTCGGCCATCAGATGCTGAATTATTGATCAGCAGATTATTACACTGAGAGCTTCACAAGCTCCCCATCCAGCTCTCTGGCTAATGTGACTCTCCAAACAGTCAAACGCTAAACAAATGAAAACTCTTCATCGTTTCCTGCGACTGCAAACACGAACTGTAACGGTGCACGCTGCAGATAAGCGAAGGTAAACAGCGTGCACAGTGTTAGCTAAAGTTCCTCGCACCTGCTGAATAACACAGTGAGTCTAATGCTGCCTGATGGAGTGTGTCCTAGGTGGAGGTATCTGTTTCTATCCTTGGGCTACTACTAGCAGGCAGAGTAAATGAGCTGTGCATCAGCGCTAACAGGCTACCAGCAAGTTAAGCTCACAGTAGTAAACAAGAGATGAGGCCGGAGGACGGAGGCCACGCGTGCAGCCAAGGGGTTAGAGAGCTCAGGTCGGAGGTTTAGAGCTCCACGAGTGGCAGGATGCATCAGGTTAGAAAGCAAGTGATCAATACAGAGAGAAATAACACTTATTACACTGATAAATGCTTTATTCGGGATTAAACTACTGTTTATTATGGGAGCTCAACTGCCACAGAACTCGACACACTGCTGGATCAAGTTTTATTGCTTTAACGTTACGCTCCAACTTCTTTGACCAACAACCCTTTGTTTTATTCCCAGAACACTCTGTGTTGGCAACCCTGCTGTGCCAGGCTTATTATCCACCGTACATCAGTGGTTCCCAACCCGGGGGTCAGGGGCCTCCAAAAGGGGAAAGCTTCACTGGGAGTTGTGAGGACTTCTTGATTTTATTCTCAGCATTTGGTTCACGTCTATGAAGGAAAGTAAATGTAAAATGATAATAATAAAAAATACATAAAGAAGACAGAGAATTGTATAAAAAGTTTCATAAACAGGAAATAATCTGCTCAACATTCATCCAAATCTCTCCTTTCACACATCCTGTTTGAGTTCACTGTACAGTTTTTAATATAATATGAAATATCCATAAAATATGTCACTGAGTCAGTTCACTAAATGATAGAGGAGTATTTGAAGGAAAAAGGCAGGGAACTACTGTCATATATAAGTAAAAATGGCCCTACTCTCTGTGGCGTCCCCTGTAGGTTTCTGTAGAGCCGTTGTGAAGCTCAGTGTGTCAACTCTGGCCGTCGCTATCTTGGCATTCTGACTCCGCCGGCTCGCGGATAATAAAGGGAATGAAGCCTGGTTACTGAAAATGATTCAATTTATACACAACTGTAATCTTTAATATAATTTAAAGAGTTGTACAGTTGTCATGAACGGGTAAAAACATGGTTATTTCTGCTGTTGTTGGACATTTTAATGCGGAGCCTTATGGAGACTGACTCACTGCTAGAGCCTCCAGTGGCCGTTAGAGGAACAGCAGGTTGGCGCTTGAACAAGCTCTAGTCTGTCAGTGTATCAATCAGTAAATCGATCAGTAAATCGATCAGTAAATCAATCAGTAAATCAATCAGCTTGTCGAGCGATGATAATGGGAGCGAGCTACGCAGGCAGCCGTCCAGTCGGTCAGTTGTGGCAACAGCAGAGTGAGATTATCTGGAGCATGTGATGTATGTGTTTACACCTCACTCTCTCTGTCTGTCTCTCT